ACAAAATAATAGATAAGCAATTAAAAAGACAGACACATATCCAATCAACTTATAGAAAGGTACTGATCATCATTAATCCTCAGGGAAATTAAAAAATGATGAAAAAGGGGCCCGGGGAAGACAGCACAATGGGAGAGGCATTTGTCTTGAACACAGCCAACAGGGGCTTGATCCCTGGCACCCCTGGTGCCCCAAGCACCACCAGAAATGACCTGAGAACAAAAAGAGAACAAAGCGAGGAGTAAGCACCAAGTACCACCAGGTGTGTGTCCTTTCCACCCCCAGAAACAAAAACAAAAAGTTGATGAGACATCAATTCATATTCACCAGGATGGAAATAATCAAAATGACAATCAGTGATAGCAAACCAGTAGGGCTTTTGCCTTGCATGCAGCCAACATGGCCGACCCGAGTTCGATTCCTCCGCCCCTCTCGGAGAGCCCGGCAAGCTACCGAGAGTATCTCACCCGCATGGCAAAGCCTGGCAAGCTACCCGTGATGTATTCGATATGCCAAACACAGTAACAACAAAGTCTCCAAAGGAGACGTTACTGGGCCCGCTCGAGAAAATCGATGAACAATGGGAGGACAGTGACAGTGACAGTGACAATCAGTGATCCCTGAGAGCAAAGTAAGGAGTGTAAGCACCAAGTACCGCCAGCCAGGTGTGTGCGCCCCCACCCCCCCACCAAAAAAAAATCAAGGAACAAAAAGTTAATGAGACCCTAAGTGCTGGTGAGGAACTGGAGAAATCAGAACCCTCATATACTGCTAAAGGGAAATAGATTTCGGGTTGAATGGCAGCTCTCCAATCTTTTAAGGAACTGTCAGACTGCTTTCCCACATGGTAAGGAATTTCCTTCTGGGTGATGAAAATGTTCTGAAACCAGTGGCGATAATACTCTAAAATATACTAAAAAACCACTGAATAGTGAACATCATGATTTGGGAATTCCACACTAAAAGTCCGCTCTTATAACATGAGACTAAGAAACTGGCAGTGGGTTGCAGGGCTGCTTGCAGGGCTGAGTGCAGATCCTGCATATGGGGGCCCACACGAGGTCCAGGGCATCACTGGGTGTGGTCTCCCAAGACCATAATAGCAAAAATAATGGCTAAATAAAGATGTATTTGGAAAGTTATTTAATAATGTTGTATAACTTTACAGTAAAAAAAAAATTTCTTTTGGCTTTGGGGCCACAACCAGCAGTACTCAGAGAATACTCCAGGCTCTGCTCAGGCATCATCCCAAACATGCTTAGGGGACCATATACGTTGCTTGGGATCAAACCAGAACGATTTGCATAAAGAAAGCCTCTTCATAGCTGTACTATCTCTCCACCCAATTCTACATTTTTGGGGAGTTTGTTTTTAGGTCACACCTAGAGATGCTAAAAATTAATCCTAACTCTGAACTTGGGGATGATTCCTGGTCGGTTTGGGGGCCGATATGGGAGATGCTAGGGATTGAACTTGGGTCAGCCAGGTACAAGACAATTACCCTATTCATTGTGCTCTCTGCCCCCATGACAATTTTACATTTTAATGCAATGTCAAATTTTAATGCAAAATTATCTTTAGAATTCAGTTGCTTTAGAAAGCAATCTAACATATGCACAAAAATAGGACCTTAATTTCTTTTCCCTAATGCCACTGATTTCACTCCATAAAGCTTAAACTTCATTGCTAAACTCCATAGCATCTGAGCTCAGAGTCTGGTTAGCATTTAATTTACCCCTAAATAATTAAGCACTCTCAATCCAGATTAGGAACAAAAAAAAGATAGTTAATTCTTCTTTGGTTTTCTCTGACCTTGTGAGTGCTCTCAATATACTCTAAAGAATACAGATAAAGTTGTATTGAATTTACATAATAAAACTTTGAGAAAGAAACATTACTATATTAAAAGTATGGCCACAATTTGAGATTGACTGTGGACATCTTATACATTGATCACTTTCCTCTTAATTTTGAGTGTAAAATCAGCAAACACTAGCAATGCACAATTTCTTTTTTTCAAATTTCTTTTATAGCTGTTCATTATGATTTATTACACTCAATATTCCAATGCCAATCCTACCACCATTCACTTTCCAACCACCATTATTTCCAATTTTCCCACCTGCTGCCCAATCCTGCCCCAACAGAAGACCCTAAATAATTTATCTTGTATTGCCTGTTGTAAATAATTCGCTAAAGATGATCAAAAAAAATTTCCTTAGAAGTGTGTGAAGATTGTTGTATCTCACCCTGAAGCCATTAAGGTCTTGTATAAGAGACTACTAACATGGCTGGTTAAACCTTGTGTGTTAATATTTTAATGGAAATTGGTTGCCTTCTACTTTACATCCCATCTAATGGCATCACACAATCTGTAACAACACTTCTTTCAGAAAAATCAGAACACTTTTTAAAATCTTTTTCTTTTAAATGAAGCAATAGTTTTATTTAAAGAAATTTACTCAGAGAAATGTGAGAGGGTAGAGAGATATACATGTTTGGAAGAGAGAGGAGGGAGGATAGAGAGGGAGTAAGAGAGGGGAGAGAATGAGAGAGGGAGGGAGAGAAAGACATGGAGGGGGAGAGAGTGAGAGAGAGTGAGAGGGAGGGACAGAGAGGGAGGGAAAGACATGGAGGGGGAGAGAGGGAGAGAGAGTGAGAGAAGAGTGAGAGGGAGGGAGAGAGGAAGATGGGGGAGAGCGAGATAGAGATAGAGAGATAGAGAGAGAGAGAAAGAGAAATCCACATACAGTATCTTCTACAATACTGAAACCCTGTTTCAGCCTCTTGTGCCCTTCTTGAAATGTTTGCCTCTCAGTAGCTGGCAGTCTCCTCACAGTCCCCAGTGAAAAATGCAACCTTGTATCTCAAGAGGTCAAGAAGTATGCAGCCTGTTCTTTCTTAAGTAAACTCAAAGCTGATTTACATCTGTGTGCAACACAGTGTAAAACAAACAATACCGGAAAAACGGGCTGAAAACTCAAGTAACTTTCAGACTGGTGAGAGACCAGGAGAGCTATCTAGTGTGATGCAATAAAAGTGATGAACTGTGGCAAACATGTGTCAGCCTGCAGTGCCCTGAAGCCCTGCCTCTGCCTGGCTGCCACGAGGATGGCCCTGGTGGTGCCAGATCTCCTTTTGCTCCAACATCGCTGAAATCTGGATTTCTGCCCCCAGCAAACATCCTGGGTGAAATGTTAGCATCACTGAAATCAATGCTGAACTCCTGGGCCTCACTTTTTCCATCTGAGTATACCAGACAGGGCGGTCAAGTTTCTATTTTTGTTTGAATCCAACACTTCAATACCAATTTTGGCTTCCACCCCTTAACACGGTGAGGCTTGTTTTCCTACAAAAGCCGCTCTGGCTGTGTGGTTCTGCACTCAGTCACTTAGGGTGGGGTTTTGGGGTTTTGGGCTTTGACTTCACCTGGTTCCGCGCACAATAAATACTCTCCAACCCCCAGGCTCAGAGCGCCTGCCTGAAAAAGTGGCAAAGAGGATCCAGTGTTTTATATTTACTCAAAGCGGTTTTCTTGGGATGCCCAGGGTCCTTCTCTGAACTCGGGGCTTTCCCAGGCAATGCAAAAGCATACTCTTAAAGGCTCTCATCTGCAATTCTGGTTCTGCAGAGCCTGTCCAAACGAGGGCAATTTTGTTATTTAGTCAAGAGCCTCTATTTTCTTTTTTTTGGGGTGGGGGGTAGGGGATTAGGAGTAAGGCAGGGGAGGTTTACCACATCATTTCACCTTACAACCACTGAAAAGGTGAAAGTCGAGTACACAGTATGGTCTTTTACCACCCTGCCTTTCCTTTCTATAGGGACAAAAGGGGATTAGGCAGGATGACGTTAGGAATATGGCTCGGAAGGGGGGAGGAGGAATTAGTGGTCTGGACTGTCACCAAGGTGGCCTTAGGCGGTGCCTAAATAGCCTGGATGACCGAACAACCCAGATGACCCGATCGAATACAACAATCTCAACATTCCACTTTTCATTTAAACATCCCATTTTACATTTAAACTCAACGTAAAATGCCCCCCCCTTTCATTTAAAAAAAAAAGGCATAAAAAGGCAAAACTTTCTGCCTTTCTCTGGACCCCTGCTTCAGGAGAACCCTCCCCATCATCTGGGAGCGCCCCTGCCTCCCTTTCCCTTCCCTTCCATCAAACGTCCAGCCGAGCGCGGGTCCGCTGCTGGAAGCCGAGAACCTGGGCGCCCGCGGCAGCATCCCCGGACCCCGGGGACTCTCTGCCGCTAGTTGTCCCGGTTCCTTGGACGTGTTCCCGCCAGGGAGTCGGTGGTGGCCCCCTCCCCCCATCCCCTCGGCGGGGAGGAAGAGCAGGAAGAGCAGGAGGAGCAGGAGCAGGAGGAGGAGGGCTGCAGGCCCTGTGGATGCCGGCCAGCGGGCAGCGGTCCGCGACGCGGCAGGGCCCAGGCTCCGGGGGGGCCGGGCCCCGGGCCAGCGGGGAGATCCCCGCGGTGATGCTGCTTTCGCAGCCCGGCCAGGCCCAGGCCAGCCCGGCCGGGTTCGAGAGATGGTTCGCTCGGCTCCCCGGCCGCGGGCAAGCGGAAGGGGCGGGGGGGGGGGGACCCCGCGCGTCTACAGGACCGCTCCCACCGCACAAAGGACCGCCCGCCCGCTCGCGCTGCGCCAGACCTGTAGCTCGGCGGCCGATGCCCCGGAACAGCCGTGCGCAACGCCGGGGAGGCGACGACGAAGCGGCGGGGGCGGCGGCGGCGGCGGCGGCGGCTGCTGCTGCGACTCCACCACCCGGGCCTGGCCTCCAGGTCGGGTTCCCAGGACCGCGCCCCGCCCCTTCGGCCCGAGCCCCGCCCCCGCGCCGGCCTCGCTAGGGGCCCGGATGTGGCGCCGCCCCGCCCCTCGCGGTCCCTCCCGAATGCGCTCCGGGTCGCGCGCGCGGCCCAGGAAGAGTTTCGCCGTCTCCCGGGCGGCTAGAGCGTCCGCCCGTGCTCTGTCGCGCTGCAGGTGACGGCGCCCGGAGGCTGTCGGGAAGTAGGCGGGGTGACGTGGGCTTGACGAGCTCCGCGGCGGGTTTGCTCAGCTCGGTGGCCGGCGGCAGCTGCTGCGGGGGGCGGCCGCGGCGCCGGGGGCTGCGGGGCGCTTTGTGGCCGGGGCCATGTCGGGCAATGCTGGGGAGTGGTGCCTCATGGAAAGCGACCCCGGGGTCTTCACCGAGCTCATTAAAGGATTCGGTGAGCGCCCAGGGTCCCCGTCCTGCGCCGGGGGTCACGGGAGGAGGCCGGGGCTGGCCGAGCAGGGGGTCGCGGCAGCGCCCCCATCCGTCGCGCGCCTCGCGACCGTGGAAGGGAGGCGGCTCCGGGCATCTGGAGCCGGGGAGGGGGCCGCGTCGCGTCCCGCCCCTCCGCAGCCCGGGCGGGCACGTTCCGCTTCCAGCACGAGGGCAGGGGTCCTGTCCGCACCCCAGGGCGCGGCGCCTCGGCCTGGCGTCTCTCCCCCCGCCCCCGGCTCCCCGCCGTCCCCTTTCCCACCGCCACTTGGACGCCGAGGCCGGGGAGCCCCAGTGCGGGCGCGCCTGCTGCAGGGTGCGGTGACTTCGGGTCCGGGGACCCGCGATGCTGGCGGTGCGGTGCAGGACCCAGGCCGCTGGGGCCGCTGTGCGGGGCTGCCCCGCGCGCACCTGCGGGAGACCCCCCGGGCGCCCCTGCCCGGCTCGCGGCACGGCGCCGGGGGCGCGTGTCCCGAAGAGCGCGGGGGCCACATGCGCGCCTGGTGCTCGCGCGCCCTCCGGCCGGCCGGCCGCCGCATTCATTTGCTGTTTTCCCCCCTCACTTAGCCACGTCTTTGACTTTGGATCTCTTCCGAGCCCGTGTATTTTGTTTTTCTAGCCAGGTGTGACGTTTCCTAAAGTATTAACGAGCTCTGGCTGTGGTGCGGTAACTGGCGCTCGGGCTCAGTGGATGGGCGCAGTCGCTCCCGTCTTCCCGTGGCCCACTGTCGGGAGTAGCGTGGCGCAAGCAGCCACGCCTGTACCTTTGGCACGTTTTGGTCGGAAGCTGGGGTTTTTTTTTTTTTTTTTGATGCGAATAAACCACATTTTCTAAGGAACCGACAGGCGACAGAGCACAGTATGGTCTGTACGATTGCAGATACGGGCAAGGGAACGATTGCAGTTCGGAAGAGCCTGGGCAAAGTGTGTATAATAAGTAATGGGAAAGCGCCCTGACGGGCCTGGGACAAGGCTTCGCGGGTTGGAGCGCCCCCTTTTCAAGTTGGGTGCCCGGGTTCATTTCCCCAGTGACCGTATTGGACCTGAGTTCCAAGTTGAGAGCGAGTAGCCCCGAACACCGCTGATACTGGCGCCCAAATTGAAAAATACTTTTAAAAAATTACTTAGAGAACAAGGGGGAAAGTGACTAAAACAATGTAATACATTGGTATTTTGATAAACAGATTAGATTGTTACTTTGTATAGTTTGGGTGGTTACGTTGTCACTGTCACAGTCCTCCCGTTGTTCCTCGATTCGTTAGGTAGTCACTGGTTAAAAAAGTTAAAGGTGTCTGGGTGTTGACATGACACGTCCATAATTTCAAAAGTTTTTGTTTCGTCATTGTACAGACTGGATGGGAAAGGAATGGGGGCAATTAAAAGTCATAAAATGAAGGCTGAGGTGATTGGCTTCATCTTTTAAGAATAATGGGTTGGAGAGGAGAGGAGTAAAGAAATAATTTTGCTATGTTTAAAACCGCAGAACCGTTGACTGAATGTAGAAGCTCCATGCTTTCAACTTGCCTGCCAGGTGGTGTGCAAGAGAAGGGCAGGCGTGATGAGCAAGCAAATGGGAGTGGGAGATGGCTGCAGCCTTTCACGAAACTTTCACCTTCCAAACCTCAACTATTACGATATATAAATTTAAGAACTATAGATTACACCAGCCGAATTTAAAGTGTTTCCATTTCATTTGGGCAGAAAAGTTGGCTTTCAAAATGATTAAAAGTTATTCTTGAGAGTGATGTATGAATGCACCGTTTGCACCACCCTCCTGTGAAGAAGCAACAGCTGTTAGTGGATTAGCTCCAGTAGCAGAACTTTGTGAATAGATAAATGGTGGCAGTTGTCTGTTAGCATCCTTCAAAGAGACAGTTTAATCATGTCATCTTTCTTTCTTTCTTTCTTTCTTTCTTTCTTTCTTTCTTTCTTTCTTTCTACATCCACTGTGTGAGTTAAAAAGCCCTTGGAAGATCATTCTTTTAAAAAATGAAAAATTTTTGCAGCTAGGGCGATAGTACATTTAAGGCTCTTGCCTTGCATGACCCCAAACATCCCCAGGATGGCCTCTGGTCCTGGAAACACCAGAAGTAACCACTAAGTGTGGTCCAAGCCATCCCTCCCCTACCACCAAACTGAAATATCTTATTGACGTATGTATGCTGTTGTAAATTTTTTCTGAAAGTGGAAACCACCAATGCAGCAAAAATAGAAATTTTCATGAAATGTAACACCTTGGTAAAGCAGAGTTTTTATTAAATTAAGAATCTGATGGAGAGCTGGAGAGATCACTACCCTTTGCATGGAAGAAGTCTGGGTTCCACTCTCAAAGCTGAGTTATCTCCTGAGCACCACCACAAGTTACTCACACACGGATCTGGGGGTAGCCTTTGAGCACCTTTGGGTATTGTCTCCCAAACAATAACAACAAAAAAATAGATGGAGTTGACCTACATACTTTTTTTGTTATTTTGGTAAATATTTACTACATAAAGCACCAAAACAAATTGTGATAGTCTGATAATAAAATTGAAGCTATTGGGCCAGAGAGATAATTCTGGGGTTAAGACACTTTCTTTGCTTGATGCCAACCTAAGCAGTGAATCCTGAGCACCTGGAGGTGTGGCCCTCCATCCCCCTCACCCCCAAATTAAAGCTGTAAACTTATGTTTTCTATCAAGATGGAGTAATTAATGGGAACTAGATTTAATTTTCCTGTAACAGTGTACCCGGCTTCCTCTTTCAAAGAGATAGGAAAAAGGAGGGCAAGTGAAATAAAAGCAATGTTAATAGAGGAAAGGAAATGATAAAAAAATCAGAATCAAATTACTGAGAGGGAAAAGAGAATAATGAAATCAAACCATTGAGTTTTGGTTTCCCCAAAAATCAGTAAAATGGACAAACCTCTAGTCAACCTGATGAGAGAAAAAGAGATGACAACATATCACTAGTATCAGGAATAGACTATTGCTATAAACTCTACAAATGTTAAAAGGATCATGATCACAATCATCCTGTTATTCGTCAATTTCCTCGAGCAGGCACCAGTAAAGTCTCCTTCGCCCTAGCCCTGAGATTTTTAAAAGTTCATATTCAAGGCTCTTTCAGGGTTAGGAGAATGAGACCCATCATTGTTACTGGTATTTGGCATATTGGGTACACCACGGGGAGTTTGCCAGACTCTGCCGTGTGGGCAGGTTACATTCGGTAGACTGCCAGGTTGTCCAAAGTAAGAATGAGAAAATAAGATGTCGCTTCTGGGAGTTGGGTTTTATAGTCTCTGTTAAAAGGATAATGAATGAAGGAATATTCTAAACAACTTAATTTTCGTATGTACCCCTTTCCTGTAATGACAGAACCAAAGACATTATAGGAAAGGAAAGTTACAGACCTATAGCCATCATCAGCATAGATTTAAAAACAACAAAATTTTAGCAAATCCATTAATGTACTACAAGGACACAGCATCATGACTGAGTGGGGTTTAGTGTAGGAATTAAAGGACTGATTTAATATTCAAGAATCAATGTAATTAACCATATAACACTAAGCAAATAGTTGCATTAAAGATATTAAGATATTGAAAGTATTTGATAAAAGCCAACACATGGTAAGAACTGTAAAATGTTAGACTTTACCCTACTCGCCAGCCAGCACGTTAGCCTAACCCTGTGTTTCAGCTTCTGACAGACAGCTTGGTATTACTCATGGTAGGATAAGCATGAAGATACATGTTCACACTCGGTTTCCGGAAGGCCATGCCCAGGGGAGTGGCTGTGCAGGAAGGTGGGTGCTACACAGTTTGTGTGAGTCTGAGGGAGCTCTGAGCCCAGGAAATCCCAGTCTTACGAAAGGGCTGCTGAGAACCTGCTCATCTTCCACTCTGGGGAGACCATTTTTTTTTTTAAATCTAAATAAGTGTTTCCTCTGCCCCAGAGGGAAACTACCTCTTTATATTCTGTGTATCCTTAAAAAGTGAGACCAGAGCAGATCTGGCCCATCCTCTCAGAAGACAAGCAGATATAGGAGAAATTCACAGGACACTGTCTCCCAGCAAAACCCACTCTCTCTTTCTACGCTGGCAATTACTTGGGTTAATCTGATCTGACAGCAAGACTGGGGTGAGACCTATTCAATATCTTAACATTGATCGTGCAGTGGGTAGAGCGCTTTTCTTATACATAGCTTACCCGGGTTAGATAAATCCCCTGCACCTCATTTGGTTCCCTGAGCCTCCTGAATGATTTCTGAGTACAAAGTCAAGAGTAAGCCTGAGTACCACCCTGTGTGTGAACTTGATGTTTTCATAAAAGTAGCTTCACACTTACTACATTTTCCCCACCAACTTAATGTATGTAAATGCCCTGCAGCTTGTTCTAGTTCTTCTCTACTATGAACAGTATGATAACTTCTTGTATATATTTATATATATATGTATATATATATAAAAAATATCATGGGCCCTAAGTAGATATTTGTTGGACAGCATAAATTGAGGGATGCTATGATATGAATGACCATACTCACATATAGTTGACTTAACCTTTGACTTTGTATCTGTTCCAAAGACTACTATAACTCTCACTTGAAAATAGTTTGAAGTCTTAGAAGATAGCCAGACTTTATCTTTATCTAAATAAAACCACATGAGGGATTTATTTATTTATTTATATCGAATCACTGTGAGCTACAGTTATAAAACTTTCATGTTTGAGTTTCAGTCATGCAATGATTGAACACTCATCCCTCCACCAGTGCACATTCTCCACCACCAATGTTCCCAGTATCCCTTGCACCCCTCCTTTCCCACCCCTCCTCCTGCCTCTATGGCAGATAATTTTCCTCTTTCTCTCTACTTATGGACATTATGGTTTGCAGTACGGATAATGAGAGGTCATCATCTTTGGTCCTTTATCTACTTTCAGCACACATCTCCCATCCCGAGTTATCCCTCCAGTCATCATTGACTTAGTGATCCCTTCTCTATCCCAGCTGCCTTCTCCCCCAGCTCATGAGGCAGGCTTCCAACTTTGAAGCAATTCTCCTGGCCCTTTTCTCTACTGTCTTTGGGTGGTAGTCTCGTATTATGATATTTTTTATTTCACAAATGAGTGCAGTCATTCTGTGTCTGTATATGAGGGTTTTAATTTGGTCTCTGACATATACAGGCTGTAGTGAATTTAAGCAATCTACTTAGTATCTCAAAATCCTCTTTTGTAAAATGTTGGCCTTATAGGGAGTAGAGAGAAGGCTTCTAAGGCACTTTTTACATAAAACACGTCTATATTAATTAGCTGGTTTTTGTGCTTTGCTGATAAAACTAACATTCAGTGAATGCTTAGGTTTGAGAAGCTCTGTATTAACGTCTTCTGCATGGTCTCATTTGTTCCTCACACCAAGCTCCCTTAGTGCAAGGAACAGAGAGGTTAAATGGACAAGGAGATTGGGAATGGAATAGCCTGCCATTCAGGCCTGCCCAGGCAGTTTGGAGCCTAACATGTCAAGCAGGTCACCATTACTCTTTTTTGGTGGAGAGGGGAGTCTGGGGGTCCGGCGTTGCTCAGGGCTGGTTCCTGGCTCTGTGTTTAGGGATCATTCCTGGCAGGGCTCGGGACCCTATGAAATGCCAGGGATTGAACCTAACCTGCTAATGCAAGGCAAATATCCACCCTGCTGTAATATCGCTGGGCTCCAAGGTCACCATTACTTTTGTGTGCATTACTAGAGTCAGGTTGTCACCATTGTTACCATTAATTGTTTTGTTTAACATCTCTGTCCTCCTACCACTAAATGTCAACCCCTCTCTCAACTCCAGGGGGCAACAGTGGCAATAAGAATGTCTTCAGCTGCTGAGAAATGCTCCTTTTCGGAGCAGAGTCTCCCTGGGGAAGAAGACTTTGGGGAGGAGAGTTGAAGAGGGTTGAAAATACAGAATTGGAATTTAGGAAAAGGCCACAGACAGCACCGTGAAAATGTTTAATTTGGGCTTTTTAAGGGCTGAAGAAAAGAATGAGGGTCACGGGCAGAGAGGGGGAGATAGCAGGTGGGTAAAGAGTAGGTGAAGAAAGAGTAGGACCGAGAAGGAGCACTCGTAGGGTGGTGTCTGCGAGGCTTTACAGCTGAAAATGTGGTCGCTATGGAATGATGAGGAAGGTGGAAAGGCAGTAATAGAATTTGGCGGTCTGCTTTGCTAGGTGCTTGGTTTTTGTTTTTTTTTTTCTCTCCCCTCTTGGTTACGTCTGGTAGTGCTCAGGGTTCACTCCTGGCACTGTGCTCGGTCTGGGCTATGCAAGGGAGGCGCCTGCCCACTGTATTGTCTCTCTGGCCCTGAAGTTTGCCAGTTTTACCTCTTAATTTGTCATAAATTAGTGCCCCAAATGTGCATTTCTTTTAGGTGATTATTTAATGTGGAAGGAAAAACAGTTCTATCAATTTCTGAAGAATTAATATTTCTTTTCAGGCTGCCGTGGAGCCCAAGTAGAAGAAATCTGGAGTTTAGAGCCTGAGAATTTTGAAAAACTAAAGTAAGTATAATTTTAGGGGTATGAAAATAATATCTACAGTTGAGCAAACTTGTGTGTGTCTATTTTCCTTGGATTGCTCTAAGACCGAATACATTGTCTCCAAGAAGTGTTTGCCACTCCTGTGAGCTAGTATACTTATTCCAAGTCTAGCCCAGAACCTGAGATTCACAGATAGGTCACTTTCAAGGAATCTAAAACTGTCTGCTAATTCTCTCTCCCCAAAGTATTCCTTGAGGGAGCTGGGCTCGAGGCCAAAGTGTGAGGGAGGTTGCTCCGTAGAGAGTGCTGGTTCTTTCATGCTTGATCCCCAAGACCTTGCACGTGAGATGCTGGAAGACTCCAGGTCATCTGTGCTACAGGGCCTCATCTGGCTGCAGGCCTCATTTGGTTGCAGGGTCCCCTTCACGGCAGGGGCACCAAGCCCTGACCTCTACCCAAGTGCCCAGGTTTGTCATCTGTTCTCAGAGAAGGATGATGCAAAAACAGTTTCTCAAAGAATTACGGGAGGGAAGAGGGATCAAGGGTTTCTCCCAAGAGTGGAGAGAGGCCTGTAAAGTTAGGACAGGGATTACGTGCCCCAGAGCCTGAGGGATAGCACTGGAGGCAAAGGCCCTTGCCTTCATCCTCACCACTGCTTAGACCCCTGAGCACTGCCAGGAGTGATCCTCGAGCACTGCTAGGTGTGGCCCCAAAACAAACAAACAAGTTATCTAGGTCATGTGGAGTGCATAAAGAAGAAAGAAGAGTGTACCCCAAGCGTGATGCGGTGACCCCATGTTCCAGCCTGCCAGTCATCACTCCAGCCTCTCTATGTTGGTTCTCAGTGGGCCCTGTCTTATGGTTTTATTTTTGTTTTTTTTTCTCTTTTGTGTGTGTGTGTGTGTGTGTGTGTGTGTGGTTTAAAGTTTGAACTGGTGTCCTCACTGTAGACTTGGGGGCTGACAACAGGAACTCCTTTTTACATCATATCTTGGTTTTATGACTCTCTGAAATTCATCTGAGCACCCCCCCAATTAATTGCCTGCTTCATGTGTATAGATTTATTTTGCAGTATTCTCTTATAGATCAATATTATTAGAACATGGAAACATGAATGAGGTCAGTGTATATGATTAACATATCCATATAATTATGCACATTTATGTTACTTCAGAACTTGTCTACCCATGATCACATGGTTGCTTAGAGAGATGGCAGTTCAAGTTCTAAAAGTAGCTATCTGGAAGTACTGCCCCCTTTCCCATTCTTCACCCTTAATCACTTGTGTCTGTTCTGCCCTTCAGTTTCTTTACCCCTAAGCACTGACCGTTCATTTTCAAGTGAAGGACTAGAGGAGTGTTCTTTAGTTGGTAGAGCTTTTGGATTCTGGGATTTGGATAGGAATAGGCTTTAAAAGGGAAAATGGGGACTACAGGGTTTGGGTGGTGGTTTCGAATATTTAGTAGTAAGATGGGCTGGAGTGATAGCACAGCGGGTAGGGCGTTCGCCTTACAAGCGGCCAACATGGCCGACCCGAGTTCGATTCCTCCGTCCCTCTCGGAGAGCCCGGCAAGCTACCGAGAGTATTCGATATGCCAGACACAGTAACAACAAAGTCTCCAATGGAGACGTTACTGGGTCCGCTCGAGCAAATCGACGATCAACGGGAGGGCCTTTCTTACCTTACCTAGTAGTAAGAAGGTAGTTTCCTTCCTGCTTTTCCCACAGAAAGTGCAACCACTAGATGGAGTAAGAGGTCAGTTTCTAAAAGTGTGAGCAGGGAAATTTAATAAAAGATCTCATTAAACGGTTTACAAAGATTGTGTGTGTGTGTGTGTGTGTGTATTTGTGTTTTAAAAGACAAGAAAGAAAGAAAAAAAAGACTAGAAAGAAACCAAAAGTGGTGATTTAGTATGACACAGATGCATGTTCCTTTGGAAAGTAGATGACATCATTCACTTCTATTGTTCATGAATTCAGTAATTATATGAAGGTGCTTTTATAGTTCATAATAATATACACTACCAGCCATTTATCACTAAACACCGATGTGAACTTTATATATATTGGAATTCAATCCAGGGCTAATTCCTTTTTATGGTTTTGAAGCATCCTCTTTTCTATTTGTAAATGACTGATAAAAGGTAGAAATGAATAATCTACAGCTTGGAAACTAAGCCACTTATTTATTTAACTGAAGTAATTTTAAATTTTATTAACTTTCTCTTTGCCAGTGTCCTAGTGGCTTAATACCAATAGAAATACTGTTTAAATTTCCCAAGTTTAATTTTATTTGCATTGTATTTGTAAAGTCGCTGGTTAAGAATTGATATACGTACAGTATGTGAAAAGTGAAGTGAGGCTCTGTGGCACTGACTTGTATTTTATTTTGTAGGCCAGTTCATGGATTGATTTTTCTTTTCAAGTGGCAGCCGGGAGAGGAACCAGCAGGCTCTGTGGTTCAGGACTCCAGACTTGACACGATATTTTTTGCCAAGCAGGTATGGTCCTTGGGTGCCCCGAATCTTGAGAGTGATTCCTTTTAACAATGAATTCTTTTCTGCTTTGTGTCTTTGTAGTAAAACCTCAAATACCACCACCTGCTTTGTGTTCTTCATTTTTTTTTCTTTCAGGTTTTCAGTGCAGTGATTTATAGTACACTACTGTTAGTGCAAAGGTTTCATGCATAGGGTGTTCCAGCCCCACACCTGCACCAAGAATGACCTCTTCCGTTCACCATTTTCCCAGGGGTCCTCCCGAACTCCACCCCCATTTATAGTCCTTAAAACTATTGAGTTCCCCAAAGATCTTTTCCCATTTGAATTGTATCTATCAGCATTTGTTATATTAGACAGTAAACTGAGCCATCTAAAAATATTTACAATAGATTTAAAAACTAACTATAAATCTGGGGACAGAGTGATAATACCATGGATAGGACGTTTGCCTTGCATATGACCGACTCAGGTTTGATCCCTGCTATCCCTTATGATCCCTGAGCACCACCAGGAATGATTCCTGAGTGCAGAGCCAAGGCTAACCCCTGATCATGACCAGTTGTGCCCGCCCACAGGACATTTTGGTGGGGATAGGGTGTTAGGGACGAAACCCAGGGACTCGTACATGTGAAGCTGGGGTTTCATCCTTGGCACTAGAAAAAGGAAATAAAAGTAATTAAAAAAAATGAATACCTTTGAGGGGCTGGAGAGATAGCACAGCGGGTAGGGCGTTTGCTTCGCATGCAGCCAAGCCGGGTTCAATTCCCAGCATCCCATATGGTCCCCTGAGCACCAACAGGAGTGATTCCTGAGTGCAGAGCCAGGAGTAATCCCTGTGCATAGCCAGGTGTGACCCAAAAAGCACTTCACTTAATCACTTAACTTCCCATTAGTCATCGATTTGCTCGAGCGGGCGCCAGTAACGTCTCCATTTGTCCCTGTTGCGTGCTAGTGTAGCCCAATGACATCTGTTCGCTCTGGGAACATGAAGAGCCTCAAACCGATCCTTCATGATCTTGACAAAGAAGTCTGACCATCTGGTAGGTGGGCGGCCACGCGGTCTGGATCCCGTGGAATCCAGTCAGTAACAGCTCTAGTCCAGCAGTCGTCTTTAAATCTCATTACGTGACCAGCCCATCTGATTTTTGACAACTTGATAAACGAGACAGCATCCCTGATTCATGATCGTCGACGGAGATCGAAACTCCGGATTCGTTCTCTCATTTGAGTGAAACATGATACTCCAAGCATAGCTCTTTCAATTCCTCTTTGGGAGACCCAAATAGCATTCTCATCCTGTTTGCATAGGGCCCAGGTCTCTGAGGCGTATGTTAATGCAGGAAGAACAGTGAAATCAAAGAGATGTGCCCAGAGCTAAAGGGTCTTCGTCCTCTTAGCTATTTCTTCGACGTTCTTGAAGGCGTTCCAAGCTGCTCTCTTCCTCCTGCACAGCTCAGGTGCCAGGTCATTTGTCATGTTGACTTCTCGACCTAGGTACACATAGCTGTTGCATTCAGAGATAGGCGTTCCGTTGAGAGCGAATGGCGCATCAGGAACAAGGCTGTTTCTCATAAACATTGTCTTTGTAAGATTCAGCTGTAGTCCTACCTTTCCACACTCACGGTCAAAGTCGGCCAGCATTTGTGCCGCTTGGCTGATGTTTGGTGTTATTAAAACAATGTCATCAGCAAAGCGGAGGTGGTGTAATTGCCGACCATCTATCTTCACTCCCATTTCTTCCCATTCCAGTCGTCGCATGATGTTCTCGAGGGTGGCACTGAAGAGTTTTGGTGAAATGGTATCACCCTGCCGAACCCCTCTCTTGACATCAACGATCACTTCTTTGTAGAATGATGAGATCTTGGTAGTGAATCCGCAATACAGCTCACGAAGGATCTTGATGTATTGGACTTGAATGCCCTGATTGGCTAGGGCTTCAATGACCGCTTCCATCTCAACAGAATCAAATGCCTTCTTTAAATCAATGAACGTTAAACGTGACCCAAAAAGCAAAAAAAAAAAAAAAAGAATACCTTTGAAACCCCACCTCAAGTAGCCACGTTCAGAAGTCTGGCTCAGGCCCTGCTCTTCATACCATGCTCTCCCTTGAACATGAATCTCAGTTGCTTGCCTCTGTTTGTCTCTACTTCCTGTGTTCTCTCTTGAACATGTTTCCTCTTTTTCTCCTCTCACATCTTTTTCTTTCCCCTCACATCTTTCTAAATAAATTTCAATAAGAACTATCTTTCTTTACACACACACACACACACACACACACACACACACACACACACATTTGGTTCAAGGGACTGGAGCAATTATACAGCCAGTAGGGCACTTGCCTTGCATTCCGCTGACCAGGATTTGACCTCTGGTACCCCACATGGTCCCTGAGTCCTACCAGGAGTGATCCCTGAGCACAGAGTTCTGGGTGTTGGCCTAAAATCCAAACCTTTTCATATGTGGCTCAAAATCAAAAAAAGGGGGGAAATTTTGTCTCATCCATGATTATCATCCACCAGTTATTTAGCACCTGCATTGTGTTAAGCATTGTTTTGAGTACTAAGGACATAAAGGTGAGAGAAAAAGAAAAATTTCATGTTTCTCCTTATTAATAAGACATGCAATGATCACAACACCAAAAGTAGCCAACATTTACTGTTCTTTTCGTGTGCTTTAGATACTAAATAAGCTATATTAGCATAATTAACTCTTGTAGCAACTCTGAGGTTATCTGTCTTCATTTCACAGATGAAGAAGTTGAGACCTGGAAAATTTGACTTATTTTTTAAAATAAGTCCCAAATCAACTTATTGACTGGGTTCACACAGCTAACAAGTGTTGGATTTAAACTGGCTTAAAATCCAGTTTTGTAATTCTACCTGTGACATTCTTTATGTACTAGCGTTCATTATTTTTGTTGCTATTTTTCCCCCTTTTTGGGGGGCCCACAGTTGGTAAGCACACTCAAACTGACTCCTGATTCTGTGCTCAGGAATCACAGAGTGATCTTGGTGGTTCTCAGGGAACCATAAGTCGGTCACGCCTGGGATCAGTGTGCCAGGATCAATCCCAAGTGATTAACATACCTGACAGGCGTCTGACCCACTGTATTTTCTTTCTGGTCCCTCACAGTATAACTTTAAAGTTAAAGTTGATTTCTCTGCAAGTTATTTCATTTAATGAAAATATAGAAGATTGGTGGGGGCTGGAGCAATAGCACAGTGGGTAGGGTGTTTGCTTTGTATACGGCCAACCCGGGTTCGATTCCCAGCATCCCATATGGTCCCCTGAGCACCGCCAGGGGTAATTCCTGAGTGCAGAGCCAGAAGTAACCCCTGCGTATTGCCAGGTGTGACCCAAAACGCAAGAAGCAATATATATATATGTATATATATATATATAGAGAGAGAGTATTTTATTTCATTTTAGCACACTTAACCATGTTAACTGATTGAAAACTTGGTAAATACTTTTATGTGATCTATAACAGTTTTTGTTTGTTTCATTGGGCTGTATGTACCCTGTGGTGCTCAGTGTTTACTCTTGGCTTGGGGCTTGGGGGTTCTCTTGGTGCTACCTGGGGACTTGTGCTAGGAATTAACCCTGGTCCTCCCATGTGCAAAACATGTGTTTTGGCCCAGAGTCATTTCTCTGGCTTCATTTCCCCTTAAACTTTGGTAGTAGTATGTAGTTGGTCCTCACACAACTATGTGTGTTACTTCTCATCTCACAGATGTGGAAACTAAGTCTAAGAGCATTTAAGAAGTTTGCCCAAGTGGAGTTGCTCTGGTCCGCAGCTGAGCTGAGGTGTAAAACCAGCTAAAATGAAATGACTCTAAAATGAAAATTTTAAGCCACAGTTTGTGATTTTCAGATCTAGGTAGAAAAGAGACAGATAGTTTTTAAAGTCATTTTTTGTTGGTTTGGTCCACACCTGGTTGTGCTCAGGGCTTGCTCCTGGCTCTGAACTCGGATCATTCCTAGCAGGGCTCGGGGGAACCATATATGGCACTAGCGATCAAATCCTGGCCATGCGTAAGGCAAGCACCATACCTGCTATACTATCTAGACAAATTTTGAAGTGTTATAATTGTGTTATGTAGAAAATAAAAATCCCTTATAATTGTCTGCTCCTGAGATAACAACTAGAAGCAATTTATATTGTTCCTTTTTTCCCCCCCGTAATTATGTGTGTCTATTTGTATTTCTTCCACACTGAATTATAAACTTCAGGAGTCAGGGATTTTGTTTCTATGTAGTCTATAGCCAGCAGAAAACAGCAGTGAGGTCCCATTATAGGGGCCCAAGTTATTGGTCTTGAATTCACACTTGGTGGTATTCAGTAACTTCTAAGCTTAGTGCTCAGTGTTTTCATTTTCTTGGATAAGTTTCCAGAAATGGAATTACTATACCATATGGTAGTTCTTATTCAGAAAACATTTTTTGAGGTATCTCTACACTGTTTTCAACAGTAACTTAGTTCACCTTGTCACCAGCCATGCAGGGTGCTTCCCTTTCCGCACAGCCTTTGTAATGCTCCTCATCTTTTTGATGAGAGTCGTTTAAACAATTGTGAGCCTGTAAAAATTTGGTTTTTTGGTCTTGTTTCTTGTTTTGAGGCCACACCTAAGATGCTCAGGCATTAACTCCTGGCTCTGCAGTAAGAAATTACTCCTGGTGGTTATCAGGGGACTATATGGGATGCCGAGGATCAAACCCCAGTTGGCTTTGATCCCCAGCATCCCATGCAAGGGAAGTGCCTACCCACTGTACTATCTCTCCAGCCCCTATAACATTTTTATTAACTTCTCTGTAGCTCTGACTCAATGACTATTGGCTATGGTTTATCTCTGCAGCACTTTGACTTATTTTTGGAGTTCTCTGGGTACCTATCATGTTCTTTTGTATGTTATGAAATTGTTATTTTGTCTAGAAGTTACAAAATTAAATGATTGATTGTAGGATCAGATTAGTAACATGAATGTGTGAACTGGGTTTTATGTGAGAAATGGGGAATTAGGACCGAGACACTTGATGCTTTGAATGCGGGAGGCCCAGGGTTAATCTCTGGTACTTGTTCCTTGACACTGCTGGGAGTGTCAAGTGGACCCCTAAGAAAGACACTGCTAAGAGTATCAAGTGGACCCCTAAGCACAGACAGGAGTAGCTTCTAACACTGCTGGGTGTGGCCCAAAAAATTCAAAAGAAAAATAAAATAAAGGGAGTGGAAAGTCTGGATGAACTGAGAAATAGATTCTCTCTCAAAGGATTTTAAACCAGATTCTTAAGGCTCTAGCTCTATTTTGACTACGTGCTTCATCTTTGTTTCTATTGCCCAGATTCTTTGGCTTTAGTATATAGGTATCAGTGTATATAGCAGGACTCTAAGGACAAATTAACAATTTGACTGATTGAGGCATGTGAATTGCAGGACATTTTGCGACATAAACTGAAGTTGAAATTCTCCAAAATAGTGGTGTGTAAGGTGATTTTATTTGAATTTCATGAGAACAATTACATCTTGCCTGTCAGATTTTTACTATGATGTCTGGTACACACTGGGTACTCGGTAAATATTTGAATGAGTAAATACATGGTCCTACAGTTTTATGGATTTTTTTATGTGTTCTGCTGTATAACCACTTGGTGGCACTAAACTCATTTTTAAGCCTGAAGTAATGATGAATATGATGACGTTGACTATATATTTTTTAATGTGGTGCCAGATATCAAGGCCAGGATATCACATATATGTGGTAGGGCTTCACACATGCCAAACATGTGTTGTAGCACTGAACTACCACTCCTTTGAACTTGCCAAAACAAAAGGTGGTTTTATACCCAGGCATAATTAGTATTCTTTATACGTACACAAAACGAGTCATAGAAAATGCAAGCTGTTATTAATATCAAAAGAGAAATGATAACCAGAATTTCTTTTTTTTCTTTGGGGGGAGGGCTTGACCTCCCTGTGGTGCCTCCGGGCTACTCCTGACTCCTTCTCAGGAATCCTCCCAGTGGTACTTAGGGAACCATATGATACTAGGGATTGAACTGGGATCAGCCACATGCAGTCCTCTTAGCTTCAGAAATCCAACCCCTAGGATTTCTTTTCTCTTTCTTTTTTTTTTCCAAAGTTTGTTTGGATAAACATTATGTGACACAAAAAGCATACACAGAAGGACCTGAATCCTTAGGTCAGAGGAATGTTTGATAGTACTCTCTGCTATATCCTCACATCCAGCCTTTATTGGGTATACATTATCTTTTAAATATCATGATTTTGTTTTTGTTTTGGGGCCACACCTTGCCGTGCTCACATCTTAATCCTGCTTCATGCACAGAGATCACTCCTAAAAGGTCTTAGGGGAGCCTAAGGGTTGCTGGGAATTGGACCCAGATCGGTGCAAGGCAAGTGCCCTACCCACTGTACTGTTTCTGACCCCTCAAAGTAGATTTGGATAGAATTCAAATACATTTTCTGTGTATTTGTTTTGGTGAAGAGTAGCACTGTAGCACTGTCCTCCCATTTGTTCATTGATTTGCTCGAGTGGGCACCAGTAACGCCTCCACTGTGAGACTTGTTACTGTTTTTGGCATATCGAATACGCTGCGGGGAGCTTGCCAGGCTCTGCCGTGCGGGCGGGATACTCTCGGTAGCTTGCTGGGCTCTCCAAGAGGAACGGAGGAATTGAACCCGGGTCGGCCGCGTACAAGGCAAATGCCCTACCTGCTGTGCTATTGCTCCAGCCCTTATTGGAATCTGTGAAGAGTATATGAAAAAATATATTTGGGGGATTATTGTCACTAGCTAGAGGCTACTTCTGAATGAAAGAAATTAATAATGTCTGTATTTGTGTTTTATAGGTAATTAATAATGCTTGTGCCACTCAAGCAATAGTGAGTGTGTTATTGAACTGTACCCATCAAGATGTACATTTAGGAGAAACATTGTCAGAGTTTAAAGAATTTTCACAAAGTTTTGACGCAGCTGTGAGTACAATCTCATTATTTTTAAATAATATAAGATTCAGTAATTACACCCAATTTGTGACAGTACTTATTTTAATGGACTGCTTTTAAAAATTATTTCAGATGAAAGGTTTGGCACTGAGCAATTCAGATGTGATTCGGCAAGTACACAACAGTTTTGCCAGGTAAAGAGTCTTTGTGTTGAATGAGTACTGTTTCCTTCTTTGCTTGTTTGTCTCTTACTATTTTCTTCTTCACTTTAGACAGCAAATGTTTGAATTTGATGCAAAGACAACAGCGAAAGAAGAAGATGCCTTTCACTTTGTCAGTTATGTCCCAGTTAATGGACGACTGTATGAATTAGATGGATTAAGAGAAGGACCGATTGATTTGGGTAATCTGGTTTCTGTTCATGGCATTTTACTTTTGGGGGGTGGGGAGTACAGGATGGAAATGTAGCTTAGTGATGGAGGTTTTATCATATGAGACACCCTGTGTTTGATCCCCAGCACCACAGTGAGGGAAAATAAAGGTGGGATCTTTGGGATCATTGTTAGCATAATGGTTCTTAAATTTTGTAGAACATTGGGGCTGGAGTGATAGTACAGTGGGTAGGGCGTTTGCCTTGCATGTGGCCGACCAGGGTTCGATTCCCAGCATCCCATATGGTCCCTTGAGCACCGCTGGGAGTGAGTCCTGAGTACAAATCCAGGAGTAACCCCTGTGCATCGCTGGGTGTGATCCAAAAAAGCAAAAAAAAAAAATTTGTAGGACATTTACTAAAATTTAGCATGCTGTTATGAAGACCTTAAGCTCTTCAGTATTTTGTAAAATTGAATAACAAAAGAAAGATCATGTTCAGTACGTTAGTTCATCTGGGACCTTTAATTTTCTTCTAAAAGAAAGTTTTTTAAACTGATATATTTCCTAACATTTTATTTTCCTTTTGACTTTATAAAATTTCTTTTAGTGAATTTGTTACTCTCCTCATTTTTAACTTAGTGATACTAGTGATTTTTATTATCTTGAATTAAAATATTCATTGGAAATTGGGTAGTCACATCAACTTTAATTTGGTGTCCAACAATCTGCAGAAGCACTTTCCTTCAAAGTTTTTAAGTTGTGCATTAATGTGCTATCCTTTGAGCCACAGGTAGATTGATGCTGATTATCTGTTCTAACAGAGTTGAGCAAAAATGACAAATCCAATAAAAAAAATGCTCTTTGCTCAGTGCTTGCGGGTTGCTCCTGTGCAGTGCTCTAGGGCCTGTGTGGTGCTGCAGACTGAACTCTGGCCTCCCACTACAGAGCACTTACCTTCTTGAGCCATCTTCCAGGCTCCAGGGTTGCGAGTTTTAATGTATGTTTTTTTTCAGCCATTTGTATAGAACCTGCAATAATAGGTCAGTTCACGTTGCATGGTTTTCTTTCCTTACCCTTTACTAAGAGATTTTTTTTAAATGAAGTTTAACATGCTGAAAGAGTGGATACTGTCCCAATGTTGCGTATTTTGACTAAATTTTTGAAATAATGTTTATTTTAGCTAAATGCTTTAAAAACTTCTTTCTAGGCGCTTGCAATCAGGATGACTGGATCGGCGCGGTGAGGCCTGTAATAGAGAAAAGGATACAGAAGTGAGTAAAGGGCTAATGCCATTGACATGGCATTCTGTTATTTTTAAAATAGCACTATAGCACTGTCCTCCTGTTGTTCATTGATTTGATTGAGTGGGCACCAGTAACATCTCCATTGTTGTTGTTACTGGTTTTGGCATATCAAATACGCCATGGGGAGCTTGTCAGGCTCTATTGTGATTTTTTTTTATAATATTTTTAAAGAAAACATGCAGAAATTGATAAACATTTAATATATTTTATCTTATTTACAATGGAACTTGGTGAGTAGGCAGAAAGCCAATAGATTTTCCAGGAAAAGATATCAAAAGTTTTTTTTTTTAATTTTTATTTTATTCATTTATTTTTTTATTAGTGCAACATCATGAGGTACAGTTATAGACTTACAAATTTTTGTGCTTGGGTTTCTCTATTATGATTTTTTTAAAGTAAAGTATTTTTAAAATACTTTTTCTTTCTTTTTTTTTTTTTTTTTTTTTTTTTTTTTTTTCTTTTTGGATCACACCTGGCCATGCACAAGGGTTACTCCTGGCTCTGCACTCAGAAATTACCCCTGGCGGTGCTCAGCGGACCATATGGGATGCTGGGAATCAAACCCTGGTCGGCTGCGTGCAAGGCAAACGCCCTATCTGCTGTGCTATCTCTCCAGCCCCTGAAATACATTTTTTAAAAATATTTAAAAATTTTTTGTAGTGGTGATTGAACATATACCATTGATTAAATTAATTTGTTCAGGAATGTGTTTCAGAAAATTCTTAAATTTTGCATTAGTAACATGGCAGCCTGTCTCTTAAAGAAGTTAAACATAAAAAGCTTCTGTGAAGTAAAAGCTTTTATAAATAATTTTGTTTAGCTTTTTTTTCTCCCCTTGTTTTCTGGGCCACGCCTGGCAGTGCTGAGTGTGGAGGGGTCATTTCTGACATTGCTGGGGGACCGTGTGGTGCTGAGAGTCAAACCCAGGCTCCTGCATTCTGAGTGCTCTGCAGCCCTTTGATCTGGCTCCCTGGCCCTGAGCATGTGTGTTTTCTTTTTTTAAAAAGAATTGTAATCGAACTTTATTATTTTGAGATAATTACATACTCAAATTTAATTATAATTCCCTTTATTCTGTAATGGTAACATGCAGAACTTTAGTATCAGATTAGAGTCAGGATTTTGACATTGATACAGTCAGGACACAGGGCAATTCTGTCACACACAGTTCCTATGTTATAGTCCTCTCATAGCCATTACCTTTCCTTCTGCTGTTCCCATCATTCTTGACCACTGATTTGTACAGTCTTTGTCAAATAAACAGTGCTATGTAGGTGGAACCATACAGTACAGGACCTTTTTGGACTAGCTGTTTTACTTAACATAGTTCTCTGGAGACTTGTAAATGTTAAGTGGTTTAGTAGTTCATTCTTTTTCTTTAATGGGTAGTATTACATGATGTAGCTGTACCAGGTTTTTTCCCTGGATTTTCTCTGTTCTGGGACTGTTACAGATAGAAGTACAGATGAATATTTGTGTACATGGCTTTATGTGAACTTAAGTTTCATTTTCTCTAGGCTAAATACTAAGATATTTAACCTAATACCTCGCTAGGTATATAACCCATTGTTGGGTTCTATGGTAAATGCATGTTTCATTTTGTAAAGAAATTGTCAGGCTCCTTTTGTTTTGTTTTGTTTGGGGGGCACACCCAGCAGTGCTCAGGGGTTACTCTTGGCTCTGCACTCAGGAATTACTGCTGCGGTGATCAGGGGACCATCTGAGAAACCAGGGATCTAAACTGGGTCAGTTGTGTGCAAGGCAAGCATCATATCTGCTGTACTATAGCTGTGACCCCAGAAATTGTCAGCCTCTTGACCAGGTGAAACCGTTTTACATTCCAGCCACCAATGAGATATGCTGATAGCGTATATCATTGTAGCTTTTGACTTTATTTTTGCATTTTTAGGCTCTTAATGTTGAAAATATATTCATGCCTTTTGTCTATTATTTTTCCCTTTTGCCTGTCTTGTAAGTGGATTATTTGGTTTTGTCTATCCCAACTCCAGATAGTACCATCCCGGGAGGGATCACTACAATTGGTCTTCTTTGATATTGTTATTCGGTGTAATTGCTGCCAGCAGGGCAATAGTTATGTCTTCATAAAATGCATTTTTATATAAACTGTTTAAAATGTGTCAGCTAAAAATAGAAGGTTGAGTTGAATGCACACGTGGCTTCACATGTGTGCATTCCTGTGTCAGATCCTTAGCACCACTAGTGAAGATCCATGGTGAGTCATGGCTTGGGAAAAAGTATAAGATGAGGATATAGTTAAGCTACTGAGAGTATCTCGCCAGCTTGGCAAAGCCTGGCAAGCTGCCCGTGACAGATTCAATATGCCAAACACAGTAACAAGTCTCACGATGGAAACATTACTGGGCCCGCTTGAGCAAATCGATGAACAACAGGAGGACAGTGCAGTGCTGCTGCCATTAAGAAACTAGCATAGTTACTTGACACCTGTGGATTCTTAGCTTATTTTTATTAGATACTAAGTAATGTACTTCTCATAAAGATGTGAGAGTTGATGAAAACATTTCAAATCAGAAGCTAGAGAGATAGTACAGTGAGAAGGGTGCTTGCCTTGCATGAGGCCCCACTGGGTTTGATCCTTGGCATCTCATGTAATTACCAGATCATTGTTAGGAGTGATCCCCTGAGCACAGAGCCAGGACTAATCCCTTAGCATAGCCGACTCTGACCCCAAAACCAAAAAAAAAAAGACAAAGAAAAAGGAGAAAAAAAAAGGTTATTTCAAATGTTTAAGAGTTACTCATGTTGTTTTACAGCAAAAATATTTATGATAGTTGTAGGTTTTCATGTTGCTGTAATTGTATTGTTTTTCGTATATAAATGATTTTCTACACTGTCAGTTTTTATTATTAGCCCTCTGATAGAGGAGTGGGAATAAAGGAATATCACAATCAATTATCTTTACGGCTAATATTTATAATTCTTCATAGCATTATAAACTTCCCAATTTTTTTTTAGGTACAGTGAAGGTGAAATTCGATTCAACTTAATGGCTATTGTGTCTGACAGAAAAATGATATATGAACAGAAGATCGCAGAGTTGCAGAGGCAGCTCGCAGAGGTTTGTGGCTGTGGTTTCTCCTTCCTTTTTGGACAATACCTGATGGCATTTGAGTGGCTGCCGCTTCGTGGTGCTGGGGGTAGGATATAGTGCTAGGCAATGAACATGTCTCATGCATGTGTAGCATCTCCCTGATCTGTGACTGTTTTCAAATCAGAAGGTCAAATCAGAAATTTAAGTTATTTTCTCAGGGAACATCTTTACTAGCTTTCCTCTGCCCCCCCCCCTTTTTTTAAATATGTATTTAAATATGCAATTAGAGGCCGCCCCAAAAGCCTCTATCCCTCTCGGAGAGCCTGGCAAGCTACCGAGAGTCTTCCGCCTGCACCGCAGAGCCTCGCAAGCTATCCATTGTGTATTCTCTATGCCCAAACAAGTAATTACAATGGGTCTCATTCCCCTGACCCTGGAGGCGTCACCAATATGGCAGCATTGAGAAGGATGAGAAAGGAGAGGCTGATAAAATCTCAAGGCCGAACTAGGCTCCCACAGCAAAGGAAGACAAAAATGATCATCTGTATTTTCAATGCACGTACGCTAGCATCAGATGCATCCATCGAGAACCTGATGGTACAAGCGCGAAAGATCAAGTACGACATCATTGATCTCACCGAGACAAGAAGGCACCAATCTCATCACGCCGTTTTTGACACTGGAGAAGAATTGTTCCTCAGAACATGCAATAAAAAAGGTGTCGGAGGCATCGGTGTCCTTGTCAACATGAACTTGGCCATGAGCATTGATTTATTTGAATGCCTAACAACCCGAATTGGATGTTTACATTTGAATAGATGTAGCTCACTGCGTAGTTTCTATCTTCCTTGTCTACGCACCAACATCCAATTATGATGAAGGAGAAATTGAGAAGTTCTACATGGAGCTGGAGAAGTTCTATAAAGAAGACCACACCTTCTACAAGATCATTGTGGGTGATTTTAATGCCAAGATAGGACCGAGAAGATCAGCTGAAGAACTCCACATCGGAACCCATGGCCTAGAATGGAATGAACAGGGTGAGAGACTGTCTGAGTTCATCATGTCAGCCAAGACCATTCATGGTAACTCAAGGTTCCAGAAGGCTGAATCTAAACGTTGGACATGGGAGTCTCCCGGTGGACGGTTCCACAACGAAATAGACCACATCATATTCAGTTGACGGTTTTGCCTGACCGATATCGCTGTTGTCCCAAAATTCCAAACAGGATCAGACCACTGTCTCCTTTGTGCAAAATTCTGCTTCACAGAGCAGGGAGAAAGGGCTGCAAAGTTTAAGAAGAGAACTCACAGAACGACCACCAACTGGGAGATCTTTGGCACTATTGCTGCAACATGGGAAGATGCCATTGTTGACAACATTGACGAAGAATACGATCGACTGGTTCAGCACCTCCATGATTGTGCGAGGAACACCAAGAGAGAGATAGCCACAAAAAAACGCCTGTCTTCGAAAACTCTTGAGTTTATTCACCAACGTGGTTTGGCGCATGCCTCAGGCAACTGCAAGCGAACGTATTCGTAAAGCCTGCCTGTCCTTCGCCAACTACAAGACCAAGATGACTGCCCTCTGACATCCTGATGGATCTATCACATCTTCCAGAAGGGCAATGGAAAAGATTATCTATGACTTCTACTCGAATCTCTTCGATAGCCATGTCCACCTGCCAACATACCAAATTCCACAGGATGGATGTGTCCTTCCCAATGTTCTCCGTTTCGAAATCCGACACGCCATTTCGTCAGTAAAGAAACAACAGCACCCGTCCCAGACAAGGTCAGACCTGAACACCTGAAGAACCTGCCGTCAGCACTCATCAATACGCTGGCTCGGCTCTTCACACGCTACCTGTCTGAATGCAAGGTTCCGTCCCAATGGAAAACCAGCAGGACTGTACTACTGTACAAGAAGGGAGACATCCACAACATTGGCAACTATCGCCCGATCTGCTTATTGTCTGTCATCTACAAGTTGTTCACTCGAGTCATCCTGAATAGGATTGGCAGAACACTAGATGAAGGACAAGCATGCGAACAAGCCGGATTCCGAAAAGGATTCAGCACCATCGACCATATCCACATGATAACCAAGCTCATTGAGGTTTCTCGGGAGTTCAAGATGCCACTCTGTCTAACGTTCATTGATTTAAAGAAGGCATTTGATTCTGTTGAGATGGAAGCGGTCGTTGAAGCCCTAGCCAATCAGGGCATTCAAACTCAATACATCAGGATCCTTCCGTGAGCTCTATTACGGATTCACTACCAGGATCTCACCATTCTACAAAGAAGTAATCATCCATGTCAAGAGAGGGGTTTGGCAGGGTGATACCATTTCACCAAAACTCTTCAGTGCCACCCTTGAGAACATCATGCGATGACTGGAATGGGAAGGAATGGGAATGAAGATAGATAGTCGGCAATTACACCACCTCCGCTTTGCTGATGACATTGTTTTAATAACACCGAACATCAGCCAAGCGGCACAAATGCTGGCCGACTTTGACCGTGAGTGTGGAAAGGTAGGACTACAGCTGAATCTTACAAAGACAATGTTTATGAGAAACAGCCTTGTTCCTGATGCGCCATTCGCTCTCAACGGAACGCCTATCTCTGAATGCAACAGCTATGTGTACCTAGGTCGAGAAGTCAACATGACAAATGACCTGGCACCTGAGCTGTGCAGGAGGAAGAGAGCAGCTTGGAACGCCTTCAAGAACGTCGAAGAAATAGCTAAGAGGACGAAGACCCTTCAGCTCTGGGCACATCTCTTTGATTCCACTGTTCTTCCTGCATTAACATATGCCTCAGAGACCTGGGCCCTATGCAAACAGGATGAGAAAGCTATTTGGGTCTCCCAAAGAGGAATTGAAAGAGCTATGCTTGGAGTATCATGTTTCACTCAAATGAGAGAACGAATCCGGAGTTTCGATCTCCGTCGATGATCAAGAATCAGGGACGCTGTCTCGTTTATCAAGTTGTCAAAAATCAGTTGGGCTGGTCACAAATGAGATTTAGAGACGACTGCTGGACTAGAGCCATTACCGACTGGATTCCACGGGATGTCAAAAGACCGTATGGCCGCCCACCTACCAGATGGTCAGACTTCTTCATCAAGATCATGAACAATCGGTTTGATGCTCTTCGTGTTCCTAGAACGAACAGACGCCACTGGGCTACACTAGCACGCGACAGGGACAAATGGATACGTTACTGGCGCCCCCTCGAGCAAATTGACAATTAATGGGAAGTCCAGTGATCAAGTGATATATTTTAAGTGAAAGTTAAGAGAATATACTCAGAATTAGTTGACTGTTTTTAGCTCCTAACTCTGCCACCTAGTGAATATATAACATATCTGCTGGTCTGTTTTCTTGTGCCTCCAGTTTCTTCATGTAAAATTAGAATAGAAGTCCTTATTAGGTAGTTATAAGGATTAAGTGAAGTTAGATCTGCAAACCACTTACAACAGTGACTGACACATAACATATGTTATTACCATGAGTTTTTTACTCTAAATTTATTATATAATTAGGCAAGTTAGAATTTATCAGAATTAATTTGATATTTTTAGGTTTACATGCACTGCCTGGTCCTTATGGTTCATTATCTTCCTGTAGTAAATGTGATTGGAGAACATAATTAGTAATAAAAAGATTATTTCCTTCTGACCTCATTTTGCTGACTATATATTTAAGCAAATTTGTTCTGTAGCTGAATAGGAATTATATCAAAATAGTATATAGAACAGATTAATTTTAGGTAAAAATTCTTACACATTTTTGTATGACGTATAAGTGTGGAGAGTACTGTTTAGGGCATTTATCTTTTTTTTTTGGCATTTTCGCCATACGTGGTGGTGCTCAGGTGCTCCTGGCAGAGCTTGGGAGATTATGCAGTGCCTGGGACTGAATCCAGGCCTCCTTTTGTGCAGAACACGGACCACTGAATTATCTTATTGATCCAGACTTTTATCTTTTTTATTTTTTGTTGTTATTGTTTGAGTCACACCTAGGAATGCTCAGGACTTATTCCTGGCTCTTGGCTTTGTGTTCAGATATCATTCCTACCTGGGCTCAGGGGACATGGGGTGCCAGGGATCAAACCAGGTTGGCTGCATGCAAGGTGAGCACCTTCACCACTGTCTATCATTCCAGTGCCTTGACTTTTATCTTTTAATGTTGTAGCTGTTATAACACAAATATTCAGAATAAAAATTTGAAACTAGTATTTTTGTATTGTTTTAAAATGTCCTGGACTTAATCATTAGGGTGTGCCACTTTTTCTTTTTCCCAAGGAGGAGCCCATGGATACGGATCAGGGTAATAATATGTTAAGTGCTATTCAATCAGAGGTTGCCAAAAACCAGATGCTTATTGAAGAAGAAGTACAGAAACTGAAAAGATACAAGGTATGATTTATGAATTTGTTTACTTAATAACTTTTCCTTTATCATTTACTCCATCAGAAGCGATAGCACAGCGGTAGGGCGTTTGCCTTGCACGTAGCCAACATGGCCGACCCGAGTTCAATTCCTCCGCCCCTCTCGGAGAGCCCGGCAAGCTACCGAGAGTATCTAGCTCGCACGGCAGAGTCTGGCAAGCTCCCCATGACGTATTCGATATGCCAAACACAGTAACAACAAAGTCTCCAATGGAGACGTTACTGGGCCCGCTCGAGCAAATTGATGATCAACGGGAGGGCCTTTACTTTTTAGAATAATGAATTAATTCTGTCATTCACAGAGGTAATTAGTGAGATTTTTCTTTTTTTCATTTTTCAAAGCATTAATATGTACATATTTTTTTTCCATGGGTCGGTGGAGACACACTAACAGTGCTTAGGGCTTACTCCTGGCTCTGCACTTAGAGATCACTTCTGGCAGGGCTCCAGGGACCATATGGGGTGCTAGGGATCAAACTTGAGTCTGCTGCATGCAAGACCAGCTGCCATAATATGTACAGATTTCTATCTTATTTGGTGCTTTGTTGGCCAATAGGAATCACTTTGTACTATCTCCTAAGTACTTTTGCCTGGATCCTCTTCATCTTTCTCGATTTTCATTTCTCTCCCCTTCCCTCAATTGTTGCTGTATGTTAGGGCTCACACATATGGTTGCTCTGCGTCTAGGTCACCCACACTTGTTGTACCCTTGCCTGTGGTGAATGGGAAGTTGTATATTGGATCACAATATACTCAAGGTAGCACAGGAGTGCAGCATAGAGGGTCATTCCTGCACATCGGGGAATCGGATTGTACTTGGTAGAGATGTGGGGTGGTTAGGACTCAGCGTACTACCTCATGCTGGAAGACAAACCCGCTGTCATTGAGTCACATTCCTCGACCCCGGTGTGCGTCATCTCATCACTGGTAGCTTCCCTGCTTTCCGCTGGGACAGGATGTTTCAGACTCATGTGCATTTCCTGCTTCAGACTTAGTGGCCATGTATGCACAGACTTTTTTGTATTTGTTTTTTGGTTACACCCAGCAGTCGTCAGGGCTTACTCCTAACTCTCTTTGGCCCTCACACTAGTTTTTAAGAAGTTAAAAAAAAATTCTATGCTGCATAGAAGTATTAAATTTACTTTGGGAGAAGTAAATTAAGTTTAACCTCAGTCAGGTAGAATATTTAATAGATCAATGGCAGTAACAAACTACACTTGTGTAACTTGGGAGTGTATGCTATGTTTAAATGGGGGATTCTCAAACATTTTCTACTTCCAACCTTTTTTTTTCCTGGAAATTTTTACACAACTCCTGGTATATAAAATACATAAACCAGACAGTTCACTGATAATAAATCATTGGTGGACAGAACTGGATGCTGGTGAAGGGATCACTGTTGAACCTACCTGAAACCCATTTATGAGTAACTTTGTAATTTCATGGAGAATAAATTAAAAAAATAAGTAAATAAGACAAACATTGTTTTAAGACAACATTTTTGTAATCTCCCTCTCCCACCTCTTATAGTTATGTGATCCCGTAGTGGATTGTGGCCCAGTTTAAGAAATCAGACAGTATCAGCGTAGTTTCCCAAGGAAGCAGGTTGCCTTCTAGTCTATATATACTTTTTGCAAAGAAATAATTCAGAGAGGAGTTACTCTTTAAGCCTGTTTTCTTCCTTCACCAACTATCCTGCATGCTTGTCTCTTTCTTGTCTGTTTTCACTCTGGAAAAACCTGTGTTTTCTATTTTTTTTTTTTTTTTGGGCGATGTACAGCGATTACTCCTGGCTCTGCACTCAGGAATTACTCCTTGGCGGTGCTCAGGGGACCATATAGGATGCTGGGAATCGAACCCCAGTCAGCTGTGTGCAAGGCAAACGCCCTACCCGCTGTACTATAGCTCCAGCCCACCTGTGTTCTCTAATGCATATCTTTCCCTAACACCCTTCACATCTTTCTAAATAAGTTTCAATAAAAACTATCTTGCTTTGCCATAATAATAATTCAGAGAGTATTCTTGGTAACAAAATAAGGTTGATATCAATAACTTGGGCAGTTTTGACTCTTGGAGAACATTAGTTTATCATGTGGACCACTGCTGTAAGTATATTTTTGTAACTGAAGTTTTCCTCCATAATCTCCAACTTTAAAAAGCCTGAGTAGGAAGTCATGCCCAAGAATTTCTCTGCACATGCTTTGTTGTAATAATCCTTACTCTCAGTAGAACTAGGATGACTATTTCTAATATTTTTTCTATAGGGAATGGGAAATTTTCTTCTATTCAAGTCTAATGTAGAATTAAGAGAATCGGAAATGTATTGAAGATGCAATGTAGTGTGGTTTAATAGTTATTTTATTTTTAGATTGAAAATATCAGAAGGAAGCATAATTACCTGCCTTTCATTATGGAATTGTTAAAGACCTTAGCGGAACACCAGCAGTTAATACCACTAGTGGAAAAGGTAAGTATTTCACTGGTGAATCTTAAATTAGACTCAGGCTACCCAAAACGAAAATTATTTTTGTTTGAGTAGAGGTTAAAAGTTGTTGAAACATTTTTACTTTAAAATTTTTGCTTTTGTCATTTTTCTAAATCATTAGTTCCTCATTGTATTATAAAGTAAATATAAGAATTTCCTCCCTGCTTTAGTCTTTCACAATATTTAGATTATAGAAATCAGATTGCCCTGTTAGAACAAAATTTAAAAGAAAATAAAATTTATTCTTTGGCGGAGAAAAATATCTGATGTCAGTAATTGAAAAATAGATTTTTTTTCATTTTTAGCAAAAAATTAATATATAGAATTTGGACATTAAAGTAGGAGAAAGGGTAGCCTAAGCTAAAAATAAATTTTGTTTTTTTTTATACAAATAAGCCATTGTCCTTTCTACGAAGGGAGAAATAGCATAGGTTTGTAAAAATTAATGCTACATTTTTAACTACATGCGAAAATGTTGAATAAATAAGATAAAATTAATTTGTTTTAAGTTTATACTGCAAGTCATTATTTTTGAGAGTGATAAACATGGAATGCTCTTCAGAATCTGCGTTTACTTTGGCCCTTCACTAGACACTATGATATATGGGAATAAATTTCTACAAGTGGCTTTAATGCAGCTGATCTACATACCTTATCTTGAGGACCCACTTTGGACATACTAGTAGGCAAATTTCTCCATCATTTATTTAAAAACTAGATTACCTGTTGTTTAATTTTCCTATTGATTTTAGAGTTTATGAAACAAAGATACATTTCCACTCATTCATTTTATATACATCATCATCTATTCTAACCAAATGTGAAATAATGAATTAAGATTTCTGAGCCAAGAGCTTGAAGGTCAACCCCCACATTCCCAAATGGATGCTTATTTCGAACTGATTGCAAAAGTCATTGCAGAAGATTCTTTCTCAGGCAGGTTTTCCTAGTGATGTTTTTCAGGGTAATAGAGTTATATAAGTACCAGGTGGGAAATGTAAATTTTTGAAATTTAAATTAACGGGACTCAGATTCTTAAAATTTCAGTGCTAACAGACTGTCTAGATGTTGTATGCTTTATCTGAAATACATTATTTATTGCCCTATCGCTGGAGCGATAGCACAGCGGGTAGGGCGTTCGCCTTACAAGCGGCCAACATGGCCGACCCGAGTTCGATTCCTCCGCCCCTCTCGGAGAGCCCGGCAAGCTACCGAGAGTATTCGATATGCCAGACACAGTAGCAACAAAGTCTCCAATGGAGACGTTACTGGGCCCGCTCGAGCAAATCGACGATCAACGGGAGGGCCTTTACCTTTACCTTTACATTATTTATTAAAAATCTTAGCGATCTATTAAAACTAAATGTTATATCAGATTTAAGTATAGAGACATTAGAGAAATGTTAAGTTCTTTTGCATTAAAATTGGTCAGAATATAGTTTTATGAAAATTAAGAAAACCATTCTTGTTTGATTTTTTTAATGACGGTATAACCCCAAGTTTTTAAAAAGTGTAGTTATAGTAAGTAGCTTTCAGCTCTTGCAATTGCCTGTGATTCCTCAGTTCAGCTTGTGTAACACTGGGTGGCAGTATGCGCACATCTAGATTTGGGAGAGACCCTGTAAGCCTTTGTCTTATTAAAGGGGCAGCTGTTGACTTTTCAGCTTCTGCCTATTTCTCCAGACTGCTCTTTGATTCATGATAATCATAAGCAGTACAGAGAACTTTTTTTGGCTTGCATATCTCATAGCTGTTATTCACCAAGATTCTGAGAGGATTGCAGGCTCACTTTTTAAACACAATTTTTGAAATATTTTAATTATTCATAAAACACTTATTTAGCTGCACTTATTATATTCCTGGCACTTCGTTTTAGAGCCTATGGATACATGTAAATAAGACACATTCCTTCTTTCTTAAGCAACTCTTGATTTAGTGAGGGAAAGGAATAAAGAATTGCAGTACTGTGCTAAACTGTTTTCTTCTTGCAAGAACCAGGATAAAGTCATACTAAAAATTCTCAAGGATGACAGAGAAGCTCCTGAATGACTTTATAGCCACTTAACAATTCATATCTAAACACTTTAAAATCTTCGGTTACGATTAAATGCTTGATCTCTGCTGATAAATCAGCTTCTTTTGCACAGTGTATTTTTTTGTTCATCTTATTTGAAAAAAATAATCATACTGAATTCCACTTTCTGATGATAAACGTAAATCTTAAAAAACATACTTAGATTCAGATTATATTTTATAATTATAATGCAAATATTTTAATGACGATGGTTATATGCTCAAGAAGAATTAGGCCTTGAATTCAGAAGTGGGTATTCAGCTTTCCTGCAGAGGAATGTAGACTAGGGAACAAAGCCTGAAGGGGGAGGTGTGACCCAGCAGGGCAGCCTCGGGCTGGCTGCACCCCGCTCTGCAGTGAAGCACCAGAACTGCCTAGGACCAACTTCTCAGAAACCGAGGAAGCTACTGACTGCTTGCCTGGAAGTTTCTAAGCTATATCTTTACATTTTACACCATAATAAAGTGAAGACTGTTTAACTCAAAGGTAATAGCCCTAATAAATTAGGTTAAGATCTTTGTAGTATTTTAATTATGAGGCTTCTGCCTTAGCTGATGAGTTCCTTGACTATACATTACCTTAAAACAGCTCAGGAAGTTAACTAAAAATATATGGTTAGGAAACTGTTTGTGGGGACCAGAGAGATAGTATAGGGTCATGCCTCTGGCCCAGGTTTAATCCCTGGCATTGCCTATGGTCCCTGAGCCCCACCAGGAGTGACCTCTGAACTCGGAGCCCAAAAGAAAAACAAAAACAAAAAAAAGGGAAAGGAAAGGAAAATTTTTAAATACGGAATCTTTAAATATAAAGTAAAATCAGCAAGATTGGTTTTGTTTGTGAAATTTTAATTTGTTCATGTATATTAAAATTTTTCAAAATTTATTTTATTATATATAATTCTGAATCACTGCCCATCCTATTTTGAATAATCAATAATAATGTACCACAATGTAAAATCATATTCAGTTGCTGTGGAAAGTACAAATCTATAAGTGAAGTGTATACTTTTATTTAGTAAAAATTATGCCAAACTTTTGTATTTTCATAATTTGGAAATGAAAGTTCTTAATGTAAGCAATCATTTGCACCTAAAATTATAAATTAGGCTTACTAACTAAAAATATTCAAGCAGGCTTTTTTTTAAAAAAATTGAATCACCATGAGCTACAGTTACAAAACTTCCATGTTTGAGTTTCATTCATACAATGATCGAACACCCATCCCTCCACCAGTGTACATTTTCCACCAGCAATATTCCCAGTATCCCTCCCACCACCTCCCGTCCCACCCTTCCCCCTGCCTCTATGGCAGACAGTTTTTCTCTTACTCTCTCTCTGCTTACAGGCATTTAGGTTTGCAATACAGATAATGAGAGGCCATCATGTTTGGTTCTTTATCTACTTTCAGCACACATCTCCCATCCCGAGTGATTCTTGCAACCATTACTGAACTTAGTGATCCCTCCTCTATCCCAGCTACATGCAGGCTTTTTAAAATATAACTTATTTAATTTTAAATATAATATAATAACACTATTTTGTCATATATTTTACAATAATTATATCATTATTCATTCAGAAACCAGGTTGTAATTGTTCTAATTACCCTTATTCTAATCATGAACATTAAAAAATTATATTACAGCAGATATAGTATTTATTACTTTATGATTCCAGTGGCATGGTTGAAAGAGCAACATTATATTCTAGTGTTTAAAATGTTTTAAAAAGTGTTAGCTGAGGAGCAGCAGAATTGGCATCATCTGAGAGTATGTTAGAAATCTAGAACTTTGGAAGTTTTCTAAATTAGTCTTGAATTTACAAAGTCCCAGGTCATTGGTTTGTATATTGAGAAGCACTGCTGTAGGATACATGTAGTTCGACCTTTTTATTATTTTTTTTCTCTTTGGGTCACACCCAGTGATACTCAGGGGATTACTTCTGGCTCTGCACTCAGGAATTATTCCTGATGGTGCTTGGGAGACCATTAGGATGCTGTGAATTGAACCCAGGTCAGCCGTGTGCAAGGCAAATGCCCTACCGCTGTGCTATTGCTCCAGCCCCTAGTTTGACCTCTTTTGAGGTTGTGTTATAAACTAGCTATAAAGCTGGTCAAGTTTGATATCTGTGAACTTTGATGGCTGTATCTACAGAAAAAAAAATGTAGGTACTGTGCTCAGTGTTTATAGTTAAGAAGATCAAATGATACAAAGTATGAAAACATGTTTTAGGTTGCATAATAATTAAGGCTTTTCAACATTGGATTCTTTTTTTTTTTTCCCTTTTTGGGTCACACCTGGTGATGCACAGGGACCATTCCTGGCTCTGTATTCAGGAATTACTCCTGGCAGTGCTCAGGGGCCCATATGAGATGTTGGGATTCGAACCCGGGTCGGCTGCGTGCAAGGCAAACACCCTGCCCTCTGTACTATCACTCCAACTCCAACATTGGATTCTTTAGTGATAATATGTTAAATTCATGTAAACTATTATTTTAAATTCATTTATTCAAATATATGGGCTGGAGCGATAGCACAGTGGGTAGGGCATTTGCCTTGCAAGTGGCCAACATAGCCAACCCGAGTTCAGTTCCTCCGCTCCTCTCAGAGAGTCCAGCAAGCTACCGAGAGTATCTCACCCGCACGGCAATGCCTGGCAAGCTACCCATGACGTATTCGATATGCCAAATACAGTAACAACTGTCACAATGGAGATGTTACTGGGCCCGCTTGAGGAAATCATTGAACAACAGGAGGACAGTGACAGTGACATTCAAATATGTAGGAACTAAATAACGGAATTTTTCTTATTCAACTTGAGTAATGGTCACAGATGTAAATGTATTGTTTTGAAATACTTATAAATGACTAGGTCCTTATGAGATGAGTAATTATGTATTTTTTTTAATAATTATAATTCCGATAATGCATCTCAGCTTCAAATAAGAACCACAAACCAAACATGATGTTTTCCTCACTGAGGTCAAGCATAGATGTGTAATTGCAGGGTGGTTAGTTGTAAGTCTCATGTTATAAGATAATGCCCTATGAGCAGTGCATTCCAAGCTTTTTAGTTTAAGAGTATCCTCTTAGATAATTTATTTTAGCATTTTACAGCATGCTATCTTCTTTTTCTAGGCAAAAGAGAAGCAAAATGCAAAGAAAGCCCAGGAAACAAAATGAAGATGCTTTGGAATATGTGCACATTTCTGCTTCTGCACTTAATTTCATGGAAACCATTAAGTATAAAGAACTTAGAGTAACATCCTAATTGACTGCACGTTTGGCAATGGTACCAGTCTGTCTTGTCTTTGCTGCATGGATTCATAAACCTTTCCCCACCTGCATCATGTGCATGGAGAACCTAGTAAATAAAAGTGATGTTAGAGTGCTTGCCGAAACTCCATTACTTAACCCTGGACCTGAGACTCCTGATGTTTTTTTTGGGATTATAACTACTGTAATGAACCTAAAAAATGCACAAATGATGTTTTTCCTTGTAATTGTAATAATCTTTCAATCTTTAAGCTCAATCAAGTGCTTAAAATTTATAAATGTTAAATCTTGACTAAACTGGATCTCTTGTTTCATCATTAATGAAAAAAGTATTTCTTCTTTTGATACCTAAATATTTTGAGAAATGTAAAACTAATTCTGTCTCCCATACCAGTCATTTACAAAAATCAGATCATTTTGAAAGGACAAGTGGACCCATGTGGTTTCTGTTGATTTTCATCGCTGCCAAAAGGAAAAGTCATAAACATTTCAATTTCAGCATACTTTAGGCATTTGGGCTTGTTATGATTTATAGAATAATTTTAAAGTAATTACATTATGTTTGAAAGCAAAATTACTGGTTATTAGCAAATGATAATTTTGAAGTTTTTGATATAATTCTCAGTTTGAGCAACTTTCTCTCAATCTATTAAACTGAATCTACAGTAAAAATTAGAGGTGCCACAATAGAGATTTCATACTCTAAAAAGAGACCAGTGGTAGTGGCCAAGGATCCTGTACCCATTTCAGCTGACTTGTATAGCCTTGTAGTTTCCATGAACCGTGTGCTGATAGCCCACAATGGAGCTCCCAACCTTCTTTTCCAAGAAAAACTTAGAGACAGCGGGTAGGGCGTTCGCCTTACACGCGGCCAACATGGCCGGCCCGAGTTCGATTCCTCCGCCCCTCTCGGAGAGCCTGGCAAGCTACCGAGAGTATTCGATATGCCAGACACAGTAACAACAAAGTCTCCAATGGAGACGTTACTGGGCCCGCTCGAGCAAATCGACGATCAACGGGAGGGCCTTTACCTTTACCTTTACTAGAAAAAAAAAAAATTTAAGAAGTTCCTCCCAGTGTTTGGAGCCCGTGGCTCCAGTGTTTTCCCAGTGATCCCGGTGGAGCTGGGGGCATTATCTGCTACTGGGGAGTGATGCTCAAGGACCTACCTCTTGAGCTGTCCCTGCCCCAGTAAAGAATCACTGAAATTGACCTGTGACCCTTTAACCTTCTGTTATGGAAAAGTTATTGTGTATTTCTTCCTTTCCCTCTGTGGATGTGTTGAATAATTGGAGATCACATGTTGTGCTAAGGTTTAGTGTGACTTTCACTGGGTGTGGCACTCCATGGGTTGTGGTGCTGTGCTTGCACCTGTGCTTGGTTGGGGGTGGGGGGGCAGGGGCTACACTCTTAGTTAAGGACTGGTCCACATTCTGGTGGTGTGGGCCAGGCTTACACTCCTTAAACTTCCAGGGCTTGCACGCCTAACCACACTTGTCATTGAAAGGCACTTTTTTTTCCCCTAAAGTCTTGGGTTTTTTTTTTTTTTTTTTTTGTAGTGGTGATGGTGGGTGGAAAGGCACACCCAGCAGTGCTTGGGGGACTATATATAGTGCCTGGAATTGAACTCCAGTTGGCTTTGTGCAAAGCAGTGTGCCCTACACTGTACTGTATCTCTCCAGCTCCTGAAAGACACTTTTGTTTGTTTTTGGGCAAACTCAGCAATACTCAGGGGTTACTCCTGGCTCTGCACTCAGGAATCACTTCTGGCAGTGCTTGAGGGGGGCCCAAATGGGATGCCTGGGATAGAGCCTGGATCTGCTGCATGCAAGGCAAGTGCCCTGCTTCCTGTACTGTCATTCTAGCTGTGACAGATACTTTTTAAAATGAGAGTTACAGTATCAAGATATTTGAAAAAAAGTTGCAAGAAACTTGTAATAGGTATAAGATTTTTTTTTCTTTCTGTTTTAGAATACTTGCTTTACCTGCCACCTCTTTGCTGATTGCAAGTGTATGGTGGCCCTTGGTGATCATTCTGCCATTGCATTCAGAGATATGACTTGCTAGCTGTAAGTCATAAAGTTGGAAGTGTAAAGAGTAACTCAGATACACACACAACACACACACACACACACACACACACGTCAGTGATATGTTGAAAGTTTTTTCTTTTTAAAAAAGGGGACATACTTAAAAGAAATTATTTGCTCATTTCACTTTTGTCCTTTTCAGAAATCTCAGCCACTGATCAGGTAGATGGAGGCCCATCTGTTTCATGCCTTTTAAAATAGCCAGCCAGTTCGAAGGGCTATACTTCTGTTACTGTAAACAAGAAAAGCTTGCCAACAGCTGCAGTACTGGGTAGATTCAGCTCATATGTTTAGTTCCCAAGACAGCTGCCCTTTTTCTGGTTGAGAGCAGTCAGCTTGACTGCTGCTAGAATGAACAAATATTTGTTTTGAGATCATGAACCACGGGGACTTGCTCCCCTATCATTTAGACTATGATACTATGGCATTACATGCAGATAATTCCTTACTTAATCCTTCTCGTTGCCTAGAACGTTTCAAAATACATTCAGAAATTTTTTTTTCAGTAGAAGGATATTTTGGAATTCCTATAGGACCCCCCCTCCCATCCCCGTAGAATTTCTAAAGGAAGAAAAATAATAATACACTCATAACTCTACTACCAAGAGAATTGCATTATTGTTTTAGTGTATTCAGCAATTTAGTATGTAATTTTAAAAAGATCCTAATCTTTTATGCGTGTACATATGCTTTTGTCTTTGTATGGCCTCTCCACCTGTTAAAACAGATCTATGTGGTCTATACCATTTTATTTATTTTTTAATTTTAATTTTTTATTGGTGAATCACTATGAGGTACAGTTACAGACTTACAAACTTTCGTGCTTGCATTTCAGTCATGCAATGATCGAGTACCCATCCTTCCACCAGTGCCTGTTCTCCACCACCAGTGATCCCAGTATCCTTCCCACCACCCCCTATACCATTTTTATTTTTATTTTTTTAAAGGCTTAATTTTTATTTATTTTATTGCTTTTTTGGGGGGTCACACCCGGCGATGCACAGGGGTTACTCCTGGCTCTGCACTCAGGAATTACCCCTGGCAGTGCTCAGGGGACCATATGGGATGCTGGGAATTGAACCCGGGTCAGCTGCCTGCAAGGCAAACACCCTACCCGCTGTGCCATTGCTCCAGCCTCCCCCCGCCCATACCATTTTTAAAGTAGATGAATTGATCACTCTTTGTATCATTAGTGACTCACTGCAGGACTGGAGTGATAGCACAGCAGGTAGGGCATTTGCCTGGCACACGGCCTACCCGGGTTTGATTCCTCCGTCCCTCTCGGAGAGCCTGGCAAGCTACCGAGAGTATCCCGCCCACATGGTGAAGCCTGGCAAGCTCCCCGTGGCGTATTCGATATGCCAAAAACAATAACAAGAAGTCTCACAATGGAGACGTTACTGGTGCCTGCTTGAGCAAATTGATAAACAACGGGAGGACAGTGCTACCTACAGTGACTCACTGCAGACCACTCAGATTTTAAAAGGAATGGAAAGTAGCACTGAGAATTTTGAAACTACTTAGCTCCTTCCAAAGTCATTGGGAGACCAGCCCTAATTGTTGCCAGCTTGTGATTATACCTTAAAACAGTGTCACTCAACTGAGGGCCATATGGACCTTGTGGGCCCCCAGTATATTCCAAGGCAACCACAGGTGAAAATAGAAAAAGTGGTGGTAGTGATGGGGTGGGGATGGGGGGGCATTGGAAAAAGATCCAGAAATGGCCTAGAATGTGGAATTGGCCCCTCAGTGGCTCAGTCTGCCACTCAAAACAGCTCTAACAGCAGGCAGATCTTCCATTCACTTTTCTGCAAGGGAATCTGGGAATAAACTTTTAGCTTTCCAGTTCTGAAGTGTAGAAGACAGCTAGGAGGTGGGAGAGAAGGGAAAGGATGCTGAGTGCAAATCCACTCTTTTATACATTAGTGCGTTCTTCTCCACTAAAACAATTTTCCTTTTTACCTAGTCAGTTCATTTTTATTTTAGAAAAGACAGAGGGGAAAAAACTTTAATTCCATTGCCCAAAGGTAATCATTGTTAGTGTTCTGCTGTGTATCTCCAGAGAATGTACACTCACAAATTTAAATGAAAAAGATTTTTTATGAAAATACTAGTAAATATTTTCTTGCATTTTAAATACCAACATGTTTGTGTTAATATTTTAAAAAATGGTTGCTTAGTGTTCTGTTACATAAATATGCTTTAATGTGATTAACAGGCCCCCCAATATAAGGAATAAAACAGAAGTATAAAAGGCTAACTTGGGGGGCAGAGCTATAGTACAGTAGGTAGGGCGTTTGCCTTGCATGCAGCCGACCCGAGTTCAATCCCTGGTGTCCTATATAGTCCCCTGAGCACCTCCAGGACTAGTTTGTGAGTGCAGAACCAAGAGTAACTCCTGAGCGTCACCAGGTGTATCTGTTTCCCCCACACCCCCAAAAAAGTGAAAAGCAAACTGGATGGTATGATTTGTAGGGAGAAATTTAATTTTTAAGAAAGTTACGTGACTTTCTAAATCAGTCGTATATGCATATTCTTTCATCTGTTAACCTATGGTTAAAACCAAGTAGAAATCAATAGGATAAAGATTTCCCACATATAGCATATAATGTCTTGAGAACTTGGGTAATTTATTTAATATATGAGTTGTTTCACATGCTGGCAATATATAGTGGTGAAAACTCTGCCTTCATGGTGAGACAGACAGTACACAAGTGTATAATACCTATTTTTAAGTAGTAAGAAACAAGAAATAAGGCAGGGCAAAGGATGAGGAGAGCTGCGCTTTGATAGGATGCTAGTTCGTTTTAAGCAGAGACCTGTATGAAGAGAATTTTCTTTATGATCCTGATTCAGCACTATGAAACTGGATTGCATGCAGACTAAAATAATTCAGAGTATTTTCAATAAGGCTGATGAAACTTGACTTGGAGTGACAACATGAAAAACAGTTAATTAAAAATTATATAGAGCGGTGACAACATAAAAACAGTCAAATTAAAAATCGTAAGTCAAGTACCCTGACTTACATGATTTATAGATTATCTAAATATTTTACATGATATATTTTGACCCTTCCTTGTGCTAATGATTTATAGTATTGACTAAACCATAAAACCAGGGAATAAAATGTACTTTAAAAATCAATTTGATACACCTCATGACTAAACTAAACGTCAAAATGAGAACAGTTGGGTAGAGTGAAAGCTCAG